AAATTGTCCTTCGATCGTCTGAGTCGACATCTGAACCCTCTTCTGCCTCCATGATAGTCTTCTTGCACTTCTCAATTCCGTCTTCTTCGGTGTAGAAATCAGCTTCTACATCTGCAGCTACGCTTCTTTCAAACTGCAGATTGTCAGCTCTGCTAAAATCCTCCTCTTCACTAGCCTCATAATCACTATCATCTTCTTCCTCATAATTTGCATCATCATCCGATTCACAACCAGCAACTTCTTTACCCTTTTTACCCTTGGTGGCACCTCCATCTTCGTCCTCATCACTGTCCATGATCTCAGCAATGTCTTCCTCAGAGATGGCATATAGTTCGATGGCCCTCGCATCTTCATTTGCACTTATTGACATGGCGAGTATATCTTCATCTGACGTGATCTCTGACATAGCATCAGTTGAAGGAGTGCTCCAGAAGAACTTCGGCTTGTCAATCTTCCCTCCACATGCCTTGTATATGTCAGGCAGATCAAGCATTGATAACTCATCAATATCCGCATAGTCCCAGTAGACTGTAGACTTCTCATCCAGAAAATGCTTGCCACCCTTCTTCTTCAATGCTTCTGATAAGTGCACTTCAAACGTGAACTCTCCACTAGAAGCACCTGTTGCAAACAACGAAAGAGAGAATGAGTAATTAAAATGACAAAGCAGTAAAGGGCAGATGCTAAAGTCTAACTTCTTTAACCCAACTACTAGTATTAAAAGCCATGAAATGACATCTGAACCACTTCACACATGCTGCTGGTTTTGCTATTCCACAAAAACCCTAATTTTCAATTCGAAAAAAACAACAAACGGTTGTCCTTTACTGCAATAAAGGCGAGCTGTTTCAGGGATAGTTGACTCACCATATTTTGGTTGGGGCGCATTTGGTGCACGCACATGACCCACCATGGTGAAGGCTGAGCTGGAAAAACTGACAAAAACTCCACCATCAATATAAAGAAAGGTAAAGTTCCAGCCCCAAAAGATTCCCCTTGCCCAGGATAGCGACAACTCTTCCTTTACGCGTCGGGTTATAAAAGCGAAGAATAGAGAAGAGGAGAGAAGAGGGGAAGCATGTGAGCGTTACCTTTAAAACAGGAGAGAAAGCTTCTTCTGTCTCCTTCGTCAACCACGGCCGGAGAGAAAGCGTCGATTTGGGGCGGCGGCTGCTCCGATTTAGGGTTTCGCGTCGGGTTGCAATAGGGGGAAAAACAGCAGCGCGCGAAGAAGAAGAGTCGCGGCGGAGGAAGAACAGACGTGGGAGGGGTGAGGGATTCAGGGCGGCGGCGCGGCGGCAGCCTCCATCCCTTCGATGGCGATTTTTGATGGTGTGCACAGGAGAGAGGCGGCGCGGGAGGATGAGAGGATGAAGATGGAGGAAGGGAAATGTCCTAATCCATCTGCGATTTATTTTTCAGGGGGGTTGGGTCTCGGGTCTGGGTTTAGGGTGAATTAATTGGGTTGGTTCTTGGGTTGGGCAAGTAAGGCTGAGTTGGCGGGTCGGGTCGGGTCGTCGTTTTTTAATGTTTCAATGTGCTGACTGTGTCTTTCTGTTAGCCACGTCATCACTTAACGGTCGTCGTTAACGGAGTCTAACGGAGGTTAACGGAGAGTGACCGAACTTGGACTGTTCAACTAATTCGAGTGACTATAAATGGAATATATCAATTCGGGTGGCAAACGTGAAATTTTTAAGCAATTCGGGTGACCAAACTTGCAATTAAGCCTAAAAATATTTAAATAGTTTGTAGGTAGGGTAATTTGTAGATGCTGCATGTGTATGATGGTAGTGGTCCTGAGTGTTGGTTTACTCTCGAATCTCATTTTACCAAAGCTGCGTTTTCTGTAGTACAAACATTCATTGACAACTAAATGAGGAATCACATTCCTATGAATTGAAGCAAATGGAACCGGCAACCAAAGCTTTCCCTATCTATGGTGTTCCCGCGAAGCGCGAATTGATAGTCCGTGAAGATAGTAGTGATGGGGGCGGTATATAAATGAGAAGAAGAAAATATGGTGGATGGACAGGCAGAGATTGGTCGACGGGTGAAATCCATTGACAGAATTCCAGGGAAAAGGCGTAACGCATGCAAGGATGGGACGGCGGCGAAATGGTGTGTCCGACGACAGAAAAAATGGCGTACAACGGTTGGTGAATGGAATGGTAAGAAGAAGATGACTGCCGATTGATCTGCGGAAGAAGATGGGTTGGTAGAATTTCCTAGTGATGGTTGGGATGGCATGGGATCCCCCCGGGGGATGATTGCGCTGGGATCGTGTGGCCGGAGAGTGCGGAATACACCGACGGGAAATTGGGGAGGGGAGTCGGCGTATGTCTGGGACGGAGAGGAGGAGGGGTTTCGCTAGAGTTGGGAACAAACGGAAAGGATTCAATGGGGATAGGGATTAGGGAGTGTCTGTGATGACGTGGAAGCGTGGTGGGACGCAAAATTTGAATCCCTGCACGGTATAATGGGAAAACGCTTATATGTTTGTTTAGATTAGATATAGTCTATGTTTGAATTGAAAAGTGAAAAATCAATATCAAGGGAAATTTTAGTTCTACTAAAATCATTCGTAAATGAAAGACTCAAACACCACAAAATCAACAGATGATCTAAATGGGGAAAATCAAGATCACCTGCCCAAAGGGGTGGGTTAAGCTAGTATCATATACTAGAAAAAACCCTACAATCTCCTCACGGTTGCCGCCCACCCATTTCCTTCGTAAGTTGGAACAGAATGTTTTCAGACGATTATTCCAACAAAACATTGACGATTGGTTCTCTGATCAGACTTCTTCAGTATCGCTATATGGTAGCCGTGGAAGAATAGAAACGATGTTGTGTTTTCCGTTTTGATGGATTAGTTGAGTTGGACTCCAATGGAAACCCTGACATGGTAACGGCTGGAGCCCTTAATCGGTGTGTCCACTTTCATGCCAAAGACCATTCTTATCCGATCATTTGGTGTGCCCACTGTGTTGTGTTGGTATGTTCATCTGAATTGAAAGGAACAATACTATCTTCCAAGGGAAGTCCATCTCCACCTGCAACATTGTGCAAGAAATGGGTGCTTCGATGGCCCAGACCGCGTCAGTCACATCTGATCTCACCAAGAGCACGGTCGATTGCAAGGGAATTGGACTGTTTCTTGCACTGCAGTTTCGGACTCTGAGAATTTCGACACCAGATTTGTAATTCACTCTAATGGGTTGCTCTTCCCTCCTTTCTTGTTCGGGATTTTTCCAGAAATAGCACCTTTAAAAAAAATTTACAAAAATAGCACCCATCCGAAAAAATTTACACTAATAGCACCCTTTTTAATAGACCGCACCTTAAGGGTGCGTTTTATAAATAAACCGCACCAGTAAGGTGCGTTCCAATTTCTGGACCCAAATCGCATTTTGGCCAAGCGGTTTTAGGTCTGACCTACAGAAATCGCTTGGCCGAGGTGCGATTTTAGGTCTGACCTATTAAAACCGCATCATAAAGGTGCGGTTTGTATCTTCCAAACAAAACCGCATCCTCATGGTGCGATTTTGCCATACAAACTGCACCTTGAAGGTGCGGTTTTGGTCAATCAATTTCCGACATGCCATGCAGACGTAACAGACGTGGATCCAACGGTCCTTGCTCGAGATAATACCGTTGGTTGTATATATCCACGTCCTCCCCAACCTACGAGAAAATAACAACGAGGTTAGTACATAGATTAATTAAAAAGCTTATAACAACAACAAAAATTAAACCAGAATAATGAGTACGTACCGCTTGAAATTCATCAACATAAACTCCTTCTCCTTGCCACCAATCGGCCATTTTTTCGGCGCAATTCGGACAGAGCTTCGGCTCGGCGGGTTTTGAGGAAAAAACCTAAGAAATGTTTTCTGATGGCAGATCGGACTTAGCCGCAACCAACATACCACTATTTTCTAGGCTTTTGGGAGGGGGAGGGTTTAGAGAGATAAATTGTAGAGAGAGAAGGAAGAATGGGTTGTGGTGTGAAGAAATGAGAGGGGAAGGGGGGTATTTATACCCATCAGATCGCACCCTCCAGGGGCGATTGGGTAATTTTGCCCTCGCTGGATCGCTCCCTTCCAATGTGATTTGCGCTTCCCTAGACGCGGATTGCTCCACTGGCAAGCGATCTGGAATCCTAGGCACGGATCGCTCCGTTGGCAAGCGTTGAGCCGCCCAATCGTCCCTCCATCCAACGATCTTGAAGACCGTTTCGCAGCAACACTAAATCGCACTGACCTAGTGCGATTTGTTATGTGGAACGCACCCCTCTGATGCGTTTTATATGTAGAACGCATCTTTCCGGTGCGTTTTACCTTTAAAATGCATCTTAGGGGTGTGTTCGAAAAAAATTGGTGCTAGTTTTGTAATTTTTTTTATATGGGTGCTATTTTTGTAATTATTTTTAAAGGTGCTATTATTGGAAAAATCCCTTCCTGTTCCATCCCCTACCTGTATTTTCTTCTGCTTTCTCGGAATGAAAAGGAACCCTTTTGTATAAACACTTTCCCTTGAATTGTGCTCACCTTTCACCAAATAATATTTTTACTTAAAATAAAGACCCGACAGATAAATTATGATGAATACAAAGTGACCCATGATTACATTGTGCACCACCTAATCGACGATCATTTCGCTCGGAGCTGGCCTACGTTTTCTTCTCAGTGCCTTCTGTCTAAATCAAATTTCAAGGGGTACATTATACAAGATAACAATGAAAAATGTTAGAAAATCCAAATTCAATTCAATTCTGGTTTCTCTTTAAACCAAGGGGAATTGTTTCAAATATTAGAATACAAGACACAAGTCTCCGTTCCATACCTCCACTCTGTACAACGAAACTATGTACAAAGACCACACATCAAGTCTTCTTCCTTCTTCTCCTCCTGTACATAAATGGCGCAACCTAGAGAAGCATGCTATACAATACCACACTATATACACAAATATTGCTCCAATATAAACCGATTTCATTACCAGAAAGGACACCACCTGAGAGACAACAAAATACATTGAACTATTAGTCAGATCCTGAAGCTCAAGAGGGGGCTTAGTAATTAATGGGAGCAAACACACATACCCAACATAATTCTGGCACAGATTCTCATGGGACATAGCTTGCAGAATCAGCTTCTGGACCTGCAATTTGACAGACAACCCGTGATCTACTTCACGGGCATCTCCTGCGAGCAAGGAGCTGTGGTCAACTACTGGATGTTGCATAGTGCTGGTAGACGTTGAGGATGAGGATGAAAAATCACGTCCAGTGAGTTTGTTGCTCATCCGAGCCATTACGATGACAGCCCGCTCATTCAGAACCTCATTTGCATCACCCAGCTGATTAACAGCCTGCAAAGCAAAAAAAATACCCCATTTGACAGAAGAGAAAATGAGTGGTATAGTGACTAAGGAGCAGCAGTTCTTATTGCAACTGCTTCAACTGATTAATGATTATTCCAACAGAACTCGTATCTTCTGATGCGGTCAGGAAGATTAATAATTACTAGTATAACTAATTATCCCTGATCATCTTAAAATATATTAAAAGGCTTTCAGAAATAAGCCCTGTCCACGTAAGCCTTGGAGGCTTCTCCGTGAGTTTCGGTATTTGTCATTTTTTTATTATTTTCTTTAACTTTCCGCAGTTGCTGCGTCGGTTAGTTTGGAAATTTGGCTTTTTAAAATGATTATTTTTAACTTCCAAGGGGTTGCGCCCCAATTCATTTTCCAAACTTTTTTGTGGTTAAGATTAAGTAGTAATTTGAAAAGTTCATCCCCTAAGAAAAATTAATTTGAAAATTTCAATTTAACATGATTTGTGACATGTGAGAGTGGATTAATAATTACGTTTTTCTGGTGAAGTTAAGAAATGAACTTCTTAATTCTTAAATCCATTTTTTAATATGGATATTTTTACTGGGATGTTAAAAATTCTCTTTTTATAAAATATATTTAGATGCACTAATAATACATATTTACAATATACATCATACCTTATTATTTTCATGGATATATAATAGATTTCTTAATGCATAGAAAATGTTATAATTTTCACCTATATATGATATTTCACTTGAAATGTATTGTGAACATTCAGTTAAATAGTTTGTGGGAACATTTTCACTAATTTTAGTATTTTGCCTAAAGTAATATTATAATGATAACAAATTGATAATTTAGATGTTGTCATATATATTTATAAGTTACGGGAAAAAAATTAAAATTCTACCTGCCCAAAGGGCAAGGTGGAAGCTAGTTTAAATTAAATGGAAACTAATTACCTGAAGGAGCTCCTTTTCACGGGCCCCACGTTGTGGCTGAGGAAGCTGCTCTCTGTTTGGAGCAGATTCCTCGCTGTTTACGCCAGCAGTAGGTACATGAGTATTTGCAGGAGTGGACATTTGAGGAACTTCATTGAAGTTGAAAAGACGCCAATTGATGAGAGGATCATGGACAAAGGCCTGAAGAACATGTGAAAACCAGTAACTAACCAGAGATTCCTACCCTCACGCACCAAAGGAAACATAAAATTTTCTCCATCGTCAAAACTGATATGGCCACATCACATCTGTAGCCCATTAAAATGAAATTATTTATATGGGGAAACCAGGCTACGCAGGAGTTGCACCGCCAACACGGAATATGGATGTTGCTTTCTATGTCTTCACTAGCAGTATCACTGACTCATTATGTAACCATACTCTTGTTGATATTATGAGAGAACCTAGTTTTCAGTATGTAGTAGATCATTTATGATATTAGACTAAACCATCTGAAAGTTATTGACTTTCATGAAAGAGAAGGAAATTCTGATACCTCCATCATGGCCATCACACTATCCTTATTAGTTCGAAGAACTTGCATCACATTTTCACAAGTGTTGCGGAAAGTCCCCTCTATGCCACTGACCTCCATGGCTTTCACTAGCATTCTAGTCAAGCGGAAAGGTACCTGCAAAAACCAGACATATGATTCACCGATTAGGCAAAACCAACAGAAACAAAATAGACGTACAGCAGCATAATACTCATGATGCGAACCTTCTCAGGGAATTTCTCCCGATTCATTGAAGCTTCGAAGCAATCACCGAAGTCAATGTGCAAAATTTTCCCACTGCAAAAAGATTCACACGTGAGGAACTGTCAAGTCCAGAGACAGACATACTAAGCAAACCTTCAATTGCTATATACCTGTAGCGGTGCAACATAAGGTTACTTGGATGTCGATCGCCCAGGCCTAGAAGGTAACCCACCTGCAACAGAGACAGTATATTGCATCATAGAAATTTTATTTTTCTCAACAAATGACCCTGAGGAGTATGTTACTCTCTCATGCCATTTCATAATGCAGAGTTCAAACCACTGACTTATGCTTATCCTAGGGCGGTGATGTTGGGCCCAAGATGTTTATCTACAAGAATCTAGTATATTTTACACAATGTTTGCTAATGGTAAAGTTGTACATAAACAGATCGTTTGTATGGATGACCTATCCCTCGGTGCATGCTTTTGTTAGATGGTAAACTGAACTCAAGTACTTAAAAGGTATTGGCTCAATAGGAGAGCTTAGCAATTCAGCAGGTCATGTACTAGACTAGTAAGTGCGGTTAGGTGAAATAGGAATGGAAAGGGAATTGACCAACCATGGCTTTGTAGCTGAACAACAAACATAGAAGGATAATAACAAACATAGAGGGATAGAAGCACATCAAACATGTCCGCTTTTAGTTGTCTAATGCATTTTACCAACTTTAAGTGTTTCAAATCGCCGCAACAACACCAGCAATGAGTCTTCAAAAATTAAATCCAATGCATTCCATGCACATCATAAAGCCAGAAAGAGCGAAGAACTAAAAAGAAGTCTCCTTATCAGTTCCAGGAATAGCAATGCAAAATGCACTATACAATCTGAAGTGGTACAGTTAACCCACTTACCATGCTCATAACTGCCAAACTTCTAGTATAATTTGTCCTCCTTTCCAACCATACCTCAGAAGTGCGGCTTTTTAGCCATAGGACCTAGAAAAGTGCATTGTTGGACAGTAGACATTCTAAAGGATAATCATGAAATGAAGCAGAAAATTAAGTTTAGAGTAGGTACCCTAGCCAGATCATTTCCTTCCGTGTTTTGAAGAGCATACTCGAAAACTTCAACCTTGGCTATTAGCGGTAAATGGTCATAGTCAGGAGCAAAACTGAGCATGTACTTGTGCTCTTGATTCAGGGTGATCTGAGATAATCACAAGTACAGGAGTGAATAAGGTACAACAGAAAACGATACAAAGCTCATCAAACTGGGGCTACCTTTCTGGCATCTCTGTATTCTCTAATGAGCTGGTGTAGAGTGTCACAATGAGGAACCCAACCAATTAATCCACTGTTTGGAGACAATGGAATGACTGAATATCGTTGAATCGACAAATCTTTCTCCGAAGTCCTCCTTGAATTCTCCAGCAGCGTATTGACTAGACCAAAGAGCTGAAATAAATGTAAAAGGTAAACATTCGCTTTGTTACATTGGCTGCAACTTTTAAGTAAATAGTAGAGTTGACATTGTTTGTAATTTAAGGAAATATGGGTTGTTCCAACTGTAGCGTAAAAATTAAATGGCTTAAAAATAAAAGTGCGAAAAAGCTGTATCACACATTATGATGGTGATTAGATTTACTTGGAAAAAGGAAAACTGAGAGAACTTGACTACAACTTATACATGGGAGGACTCGTCAAAGTTTTAAAGACCCCACCACCCTAATAGCAATTAGCAGCAACTTATACCTGCATCACTCGCTCATCCTGGCGGAGATCTTCATGTCCCTTCAGCAAGAAGGCATAATCTTTACCATCACTACCATGAATTGTCAACTTCCGAGGACGCTGTTTGGATTGAATTATAGCTAGCTGAGGTGCAAATGATGCGATGGTAACTACCGGTGAATCTGAAAGACATTAAGTGAGAAAACTCATCATCTGTAGTAGTATTTATGCACACAAAAAGTTGAAGACTTTACCAGCTTGATAAGTCCCAGGAACAGCAAGCTCCAAGTCACGACACTCCAACAAATCTGGCGAAGCAGACTGTTTACGCATAATCAAAGAGTTAGTCCCAAATTTAATACCGCCTTGCTAGAGAGAGAAAAAAGGGAAAAAAAAGTATCCTTGCCTTCAGGTCCAGGGTAGTCATTGCCTGAATCTGCCTATCTACCCGTTTGAATACGTGATAATACAAATCCCATGCCTGGCAAAAATTATAGCTTGTCACTTCAACAATAATGGACTATAGGATATAGAGCATTATGTATGTTTTCATACATAATAAGTGTCACCCAAGGCAGCCAGCTGAGAAAAGCAACCTTTTTAGTGTTGCGGTTCAAGGCTTAAACACTATGCAACCACTATCTACTAATTTTTACATGATTTTTACCAAAGCCCAAACTACGCATCAGAACAATGTATCTTACTAGCAATGTCCAGTTATATAAGGAAGAGGGTCAAGGCTTCAAATTGTAAAATTGTTCTCAAAGCTAAGAGTAAAAGAGAGTTGAGAGTGTAAAGCAGTTGTTTACCTGAGTAAGTTCAGCCTCTTTAAGAGTCCTCTTGTACTTCATGCAGCACTCCCAAGCCTCCAACAATTCATGGCGGTATGCCTACAGCGGAATAAAGAAACAAGTTTATTCAGACAGCCTTATCAGGTCAATAGTTTTCTAAGTTAACATAGGTTTACAGAACGTTCCTTCATTTCCTCTTTATTACATTCATAACATCTTTAAACAGATTTCAGGATAAGCTTATATGCCCACAACGTTAACTACTCAGGATACGCTTGTGCTGGTTAATCAGCAAACACTCAAGCACAAGACTAATATTAAAGCAAGACAGCAAACAACTTTATGCAAATAGAAAAGGCGTATAAAAAAATAGAGAAAAGAAGTATCAATTCGATTCATGGAATGTTGCATCAGACCTCAATGAAGGCTCGCTCCTTTATCGTTGTCTTCTCCCTCATAACTCCTTCTTCAAGCATTTCATGCAAGGGCTCTAAGACCTTCAGCATTCCCTCTATGTTATGCTCCCCAAAGAACAATCGGCTGGCTTCTTCCAAACCCTCATGCCACATTTCTTGCCAAAGAATCGCGACCCTGATTAATTCCTTCGATACAAGTTGTGCCTACACAACCAGTTTAGTTCAGCATTCAGATATTTACAAAGAAACAAAAAAGATCATCAGATTTTGGTAAATGTATAAACCTGATCAACAAGTAGGCCACTATGTTGACGGACTTTGTCCACCACTTCTTGCGCTGCTGCTCTACGCAAATTACTTATAGATTTACAAGCCACGAGAAGAGGATACATAAGAGCCTGCAGCAAACCGTATAAGTTCAGACAAGTTGGCACAGAGCACAGCCATGAATCAGAACACTATGAGCACACATCAATACATCAACCATCTTGTCAAAATGAGTATGTCCACAACAAGCTTCCAGCCATAGCTGTCTTACAAAACTTGACACTGTCAGAATCATCTATTTCAATGATAACAAGTACTAGTTTCAAGAAAAGAACTATTTAACACTAGCTTGGACCCTGCCCTTTGGGCAGGCTAGTTAAAAAAAAATCAACCTTTGTTGAGTTTGCATTTAAATTTTTGTTTTTGTTTTGATAAGAGTGATAAGTTTAGTTTTGAGTTTGCATTTAAATATATCATTATTTTATTTGATTATTATAAACAAATAAGTGAATTCTGATTTCTGAATGAGTATCAGGAGTATGCATTTCACAATCATAAATTATATATGGTTTATTGACAAAGCAATAAATCATAATTTATGAGGAAAAACCAAAAATTGTATTTTATTGAAGTTTAATACTTACTTAGATCCAATGTCAAAAGATATAATCATAATTTGGGCTCTTCATAATACAAAAGTTTGGAAATAAAAATTTTAGAAAGTTGTCGAGAAAGATAGTTATCATGTTTCGAAAATGTTAAAAACAGGAAGGGGGAGAATCGGATACCGCCATAATTGTAGTTTTACTGAAACTTATCCATCAAATTAAGAGGGTGGCGTGGATGAGTTGGCAAATTATAATGGTTAAAAACAAATATTTTTATTTGGATGGGTAAAAACATTATTAGTGATAATTAGATGATAACTAATTTTTATAAATATTAATAAATTATTCCTTAATGCCTCAGACCCTCTCCTATATGTGATATCTTTCCACAATAAAAGCCAAATAAAAGACCTGCAAAGGATATTGGGGCGGTTATAAAAGAGAGAGAAAATAAGGGTTAAGTAAGAAGTTAACGGAAGAGTAGAATGAAACCGTTGTAGAGGAGAGAAAAATGAAAAGTAAATAAAACAACTAAAAAAACCCGAAAATTGCGGAGAGGCCTTGGTGGCTGACGTGGAGGGGGTCATTTTTTCAATCTGCTTTAATATTTTTAAAGATTAAGGAGAACATCCAGGCAGCTACTAATAAGCTAAACCTAACATAAAAATGGAAAGAAGATTCTATCACTCCCACAAAATTCTTACAAAACATGGAGCGAGCTATATTAATGTAGAAAAATATTGTGAATTTAGATATCATAGGCAAGAAAAACACATTTCAGCAAGATTATAACTCCGTTGAACCAACCTAATCACCAAAATAGATAAAACTTGCCTGGGGATGAGACTGTCCAATTCGCACTAGAAGTGATTGTATGAGTTCTCTAACAGCATGATTGTTTGAGTGTATCCTGGCAATTATCTGAGGCAAAACAACTAGCCATGTATTGATATTAACATAGGCAAATCCTTTCTCCAGCGCCATTTGAACTTCTGCAGTAGCTCCATGATTGAACCAGAGGGTAAGAAGCCGTAGTATATCCTGAAGCAAAGGTAAAAACAATTAGAAGAGGAGAAAGTTGCGTACGCAGAACCAATATTTATGTAAAAGCATCGGACAGATGGAAGATCAACTACGGCTCAGAAAAACAGGATTTCCTTATCCGTTTTAAATCTCAAACCTGCAGGGTTTCTAGTATTACCATGAAACAAGAGAGTAACAAACGCAGCAGTCTTGGTGTGTTTGGTTGGATTTTAGCAGTAACATGCTTACTACCTTTGACATAAATTTAGAGCATTAAACATAGCATTACCTGCAAGCTATCATCAACTCCTTTCGCATTTGCTGCACAAGCTATTGAATAGAAATATCCATTCACTGCTGCAACGACAAATTGCGAGGCCACATCAGGAAATCCTTTCAATGTATAATGGGACATCACTGCCGTATTGAACAAGGCCCACGTGTGCCATGCTTTTCCCCATTCTGTAGCATACTGAGTGGCATTCCTAAATGCATCAAGGATTTCTACATAGACAAAGCAAGAAGTATCAGTAAGCAAGATGAAAGGTCATCAAAATCCATTTGACAATCAACAGAAAAGATGCAGCAAACAACCTTGTACAGATTCATCATCCAGTCCAGGAGAAAGTGCCCACTGCCAAGTTCCAAGCCTGAGATACACACGAGCAAGAAGGGGTGCATATCCACTTGTAGTGCTCAAAGAACCAGTAGATAGAGCTGACTGAATGTTTGGGGCACTAGAAAGCTCCATCGCCAAATTCTATCAACAGTCCGGAAAGCAGCAATGCCAGACCAACAATCAGTAGGATTCTTTAGACCGCTAAAAGGGACAACCTACAATATCAGTTCACCTCACCTGCAACCGAGCAAATGCTTCTTTTCTTTTATGTTCTTCTCCAAGTGACCATTGGTATTTCAAATATGCCAATATTACTTGGGGAGGTCCATGACATTGCACATTTTCAGGAGATGTTTCCGGATCATACTAAATCAGATGAAAAGGAGTGGAGAAGAGAAAGAAAGAAAGTCAGAAAGCAAAGGCCAGCACTGAAAGTCAAAACTGGAACCAAGTTGCATCCATTGAGGAAATATAAACGCATCACTAACCTGTAGAAGCTTAACCAAAGTGGACTTGGCCTGACTTATCCGATTATTTTTTCGACAAAGTGAAGCAAACTTAAGCCAAGTGCCGATGTCTTCTGTTGGAGGTAGAACAAGGGCTCTTACAACCAAAAGTGCTTGCCACACCTGAAGATGCACCAAAAAGAAAAAACAGAGCACGCAGAAAAACATCAAAAGAACTAAAATGAAATAGATCTCCTTTCCACCAAAAAGTCTAATTCTTTACCAATAAAATCTAATGAAGGCAACGCGCACTCTCTTGAGGAAAAGATTGAGAAGTAAAGCAGTGAGGCTTATTATTAATATTTATAAGATCACCAACAATGCAGGGATTCGCAATAAATTCAGATTGATTCTATTTTCAAGGTGCCACATGTTGGTCTGCTCTGAGAGTCACGTCATACAAGTTCCAGACTGTTTTCAGAAACAGGATCAGCATAACAAGTAACCTACAAAAGTAGTTACCTCAACGTTACGCTTTGCTCCTTTTATCCTCTCCGTCCACATATTACGAATAAGGTCACGCCGTCTTTCAGCAACAGGATTTCCGAGAGGAAGTGTACAATAATCAATAACCTGTGCAAGAACAAATTATGACGCATTGTATTCGTACAAAAAAAGAGCAAAATCGACAGCAAATATCAGTGGCTATATAGCAAACCTCTTCTAGTTCTGACAGCTGCTGAACACGAACCATGTTGCTGTAAGCACGCTCATAACTCTCCAGAACCTGAACAATAATATATTTGAGATGTAAGAAAAGTAGGAAGAATGCTCCCAAAGTCAACAAATACAAATTAAATCATGCTACTTATAAGAGAGGAGAAACTTACCAGAGCCGCAAGCTCTGTCGCCAGGCACTTCCTAGCTCTCTCGACATATTCACGAGCTTCATCATACTGAGGAAAGAAAGGTACAAAAACCATTTAACAACAGCATTGAGTATATGGAACCCACAAGCAAATATGAACCGGTTTTCTTATTGAAGTACCTTCCCCCTACGAACAAAAAGCACTGCTCTGAAGAATGTACCATTACTACTTCCATCTCCACTTGCAGCTGTATTTCCCAAAACTCGAAGTTTTGTCTCATCACCATCATCCAAACGAGACACATATTCTGCCATCTGGTCCCATTCTCCCATGTTCCATGCAGCATTAGCAGCCTATGATAGCAATGCAGAAAAAATAAGCATACACAAACAAGGTTTATTCACACTACATCGAGATAAGGACACAACCATTGGTGCCATTTCCAATCTAGCAGCTGGCTCGGCCGGGGTCCAATACTCCTTGCATAAGTTATTAAGTTCTTCCCATCGTGCTAATGCTGCCAGGCACCGCATCCTACCTACAAAATGCAAGCAAAATGACATATAGAGGAACTGGAAAAGTCACAAAAAAAAAAAAAACTAACGGAACTGGGCTAAAGTAACTGAGTAAGCAGCTTTGAAGATAAAATAGAGAGACTAATTGGTATCTAAGCTACAAATATCGCATAGTTGAATGATAAAAAAAAACTCATTCGGATCCACTCAGAAGAAAAGGACGTGATATAATCTTCAAGGAAGCATTATCACAATGGTTTGGCAAGCATGACAAATATATTAGTAAAACCACAACATGAACTCACATGACTATTTTGAACTAATTCAACAGAAGCTAACTAATCTGGGAGCTGACTAAGAACTATATCTTTTATTATCATCTTGACTTCCCTTCAGAAAACTCCAAAAGTATCCAGAAAGCAGTCTTTCTATGCCAGCCCTGAGTCTGGAAAAACATTTCCTTTACCTCTCAACTGACAAAACCTTCTGAATTAGTTCAACAAAACTGTTACAGGTTCCATGAATGTCATTGTCATCATATTATGCTCTAGCTGTTGCGACTAGCAAGCAGCCATTTGTCAGCATAACATCATCTAAATCATTCAACCTTCATAAGTAAAAATAAATGCTGACAAGACAGTGTCCTAGTTGATGCAAAACAAAGAAAGTTTTAGCTAAATTCCTGGTCCTTTTAGCAAGTGCGTGAGAACCAACTGTGTCAAACAACGGATGAAGAATCAAGCAGGGCGCACAGTTGATTGGTCGATGGCAGCTTGAACACAAGATATGATCCGATCAACCATTTCCGTGGTTTAAATCCAGTATGTTCATAATCAGGATGTTTGTCTTCGAGTAGGGGATGATTAATATATTTCAACAAGAAAAAACAGATGCACTGTGACCACCTACAACCAAGTAGGTGCAGTTTTAGTCAACAGCCTAACTCAACTTACCTAAAGTTGCCTCAAGCACCAGGTGCGGACTGGACGCTTGGGAGGCTTTAGCAGTATAAGCTCTAAGAGCATCATCCCACCGCTGCAATTTCTCATACCTAAAGACCATGACAAGTGTCAGGTGATGGATATAAAAGCATCAGCAACTAAATCATTACCATAATACCAAAAAGGGAAAAGCATATCTACCAGGTTTACCTACCACGACTCTTTGAGTTGGACACCAAGATGTAGTTGGGCATAGGTTAGTATTCCAACAGCAGCCTAAAAGTATCAGGTGAAAGATATAAAAGCATCAGCAACCAAATCATTACTGTTATACCAAAAAGGGAGAAGTATGCAAAATATATATTGAAATTACTTCATGCTGGTGCAACTGATTATTTATATGAATGAGAGCTTCAACAACAGCAACTGGATTAGCATCCATCTTCTTAGTTCTGGCACCTTCAAATTCCATTTCTTTGTAATGCAGAGCTTTCGCAAACGCACGACACTGGAATTTGTAGGACATATAAACACCATGGAGCGAAATAGTTGACATCCATCAAATCCCAGAAAGAAAATCTAACAGCTAAACCATACATACAGAGGAAAAAAGGATACCTTTTCAGCAAGTGCACCAAGAAGGCGGATGTCTATGGGAAGAGGTTTCTCATCATGTTCCATGAACTCAGCCTAGAATCAATTAAGATAAACAATAAGCCTCAAAGGATCCTGAAGCACTACTGTATTTCAAGAGGTGGAAATTGGAACTCCAATTCACAAGCGGAAGTAGCTATAGACATTTTGAGTGAGACAAAGATTCTGGAAAAGTTGCAGGGAGTGAGAGCCTTTACATAACATAGTAGTAACTGTAAGTGCTGAATAGTGAACCAACAGTTTAACGCGACACCAAAGATTTGTATGCATGAGATACTGATCTTGCAAGGCAATATCATAGGTGTGCGCTCATAACAAAAGGTCAAAAACAGTCCGTATGGAGAACAGGCATACCAAGTTAAGAAGTGTTGCCAGAATCTCAGGTGGAATATTTGGAGAAGAAAAGGCCATCTCCAGGCTTCGAACTAGCTGTTTCTGACTAGCTTCATTGAGTTGTGCCCAACAGCTAACAAACCCAGCAGCAAACAACTCACGACCGACAAAAGGCTGCAAACCAAGTGAACTGTGAATATACCGTACAGAACTAGAGGATGAAAAGCAATCTTTACTATTTATTACCTGCAATTGTGCAAGCCTTGCACATGTTCGCAATGCTGGAGAAGGAGACTCCTTCAGAAGTTCAATGCTGAAATGCCTCATCCATTCAGCCCAATCTTCTTTAGTACTGCGCTGAGAAGCCTCTCCAGCAGTGCGCAAGCGGCCATCATTTACCTGGTTCATGATAAGCAGGAGTTGGACACCAATGACTGATATGAGTTATTTGTCCAAAATGGAAAATAGATGCAGCAAACCCTATCCTTTTGTTTTTCTCTTTGGCAGAGTGGAAACATGAGCTAAAAAACAGATGATTTTTCAAATTTATATTCCACCACATCTGAGGTGAGTCCAACATGGCAAATGTATAATCGTTAGTTACATGGACAAATATTTTCATGTTTACAATATTGGGAAATTTTTGGAATATCCCAAATATTTATATTGTATAATTAGATACTAAATCGTGGAGTTCCATGGTAGATCATAGATGTATTATAATGTTTGTGATAAATGAAGGGCGGTAAAGTTAAAGGTCCTGGGATAGCACTTGGTATGGCCGGCATGCATCTTGCTCATACTATATTTATTTGCAGAAAAATCAACACTGAAAAACAAAATTACCTGATGTCCCCTCAGCTGTCTTTGCACATCAGCAGCATCTTCGTAAGGATCATTATCGGCATCATTCAAAGGATCGCTTATAACCTCCACCGTGGCACGTCGGCCCAACCTTTGGGCGGTAATTCCTGAGATCAGAGGCTCACGTCTCCGCAAACGCCCTTCAATGTCTTCAAACTCCTTATGCTAAGGATAGAGCAAATTTTCAAAGTCAAAAGCTACACAATAAATTAACAGCAAGACTATCCTTGAATACAATTGAGTTCAGACCCGTAATCGATGCTTCAATAACAGTTTGTGAAGTGATGGGATGAAAATGGTAAAGTCCTCCCCAAGGGCATGAGCCAAACAACATAGTGCATCAAGAGCATCTTTGCGTAGCTCGTCATTCTTCCTGTTAGTTAATAATTCACAAAGATAGCTAGTCATCATGAACAAATACTGGAGGTGCAGTTAAACTTCAATTCTAAAGCAAAGATACCTCTAATTGCATTCATTCTATAGAATAATTAGTCAATTAAATAATATTCCATAAAGAAATGGCAGACAAGTAAATCTGCGTCCAGAATTTGGCTTCAGAAAGAGGGAATCAGAGACCGCTATAATCAAACCTAGCTGCAAGATTAAGGCTCAATTGCTTTAGTAACAGGATGAATGTACGTCGGATGGAAAAACTAGCTACATTCCAGAACGAGATAAGGTTAATGTCAATAACAATCAACGTATAGAAACTGCTACAAACAACAGATACATGAACAAGGACATAAAAAATGAACAACCATGCATACAATGAAAGGGAAAGCACTACCAAAGGAAGCATTACTAACCCATCCAAAACCAGTTTCAGGTGATGGACAAGGGAAGAAATATGACCAGTGACCTGATGGAGAACAAGAAGCAGATCAGCATAAAATGTTGCAAGTTAGCATTCATGTAGTACACAAAGCAGGGAATCTTATTGACACACGTAAAGTTGTGTCAGAGATTATCGTGGCATCAAGTGGCTCACAAGTTCATGGCAACTTGCAAGTAACCATTAACACAAAAGCAATATCTTAGCATAAGTGGAGAGTTAAGTCCCTATGAAGATTTAGAATGGCATTTCATAGCGAGAAGATATAGTTACAAGAAAAAATTTCGTAGTACACAAACCTAAAGATATCTCTGGTTTCAGATCACGCAGAGTGGATTGGTACGCAGAATACTGAATTAAACATCAAAGAGAAGTGGCTATAAATGGTATATGGCACAAAGTACGGAATGCAAAACTTGAGAGAAGGGCTACCACAGTAGTATATATGTTTTTTTCAGAACTTTAGGACCATGGACACTTTGCAATTGCAGAACGATAATTACAAGGATAAGATAGAGCCTTTCCCATGCACATAACCTACTCGCCAAATACAAGAATACCATAAACGTGATACAAAATTTAATATGAAGGGATACTTAGACCCACCTGCACACGAGGGATTAATCTTGTCAAAGTCTTGATAGCAGCACGTCTTATGTCCACTGGAGCATCCACTTTAAACAACCGAATAAGTGCTGGGAATAACAGATGCATATGCTCATCTAATGTCCCTGCATCATGAGAGTACAATTTGAAGTTGTTAACTCTAGAAGCAGGAACCTATCTCCTACTTTTTTCCAAGAGGTAAAAGTCTGAAGGTTCTTTTTTTGCTCATTTAATTGTTTCTCCTTTATGCCATTTTTGTAGTTCTAAGAGTTTATCCACAACTATGAGATTGAAAACTTTGTAACTGGAAGCATAAAGGAGGCTTTGACAGATAGAATTGATAACGGAATAACATTATTGTTGCCAAACTCTTGCTCAAACAAGTACCAAGATATTTCATAAGCAATCTAGAAAAAATTAAACTAGAACATGATTCAACTCCATTCGAGTGACTCTCGCATCAGTCAAAGACCAAAATAACATGAGAACAGTGTTTAAGACCGTAAAAATAGAAGTATAAAGGTACTAACCACCAAAAACTTCAAGTGTATGGAGTATGTCCAGCACATAAGTATAGTCATTACACCTCTCCGCATCACTTAGAACTTGTATACAACAGGGAAGAATAGCAGGAAGATGTTTTCTGAATTCATCATTGAGGGCTAAACAAAGCTGCTCAACTAAATGCAAAACCTGAGAAGGAGATGTTGCCGAAGGGGAAAAGAGAAATCAAACAGAAAGACTTAATCACAATGAACAGCTATGGAAGATAAAAAGGAAAGCATGGCTTACGGGAAAGCCACGAGCAGGACGATTGGTTGCTGGCAAGCCAAAGGATGACCATAGCTCAGATATCAGAGACAGCAACTCGGGCAGATATTTACGAATGTGCTGTACAAAAGGAATGAAGAGAATTTCATCAATACAGCTTGGAACAGCTTTCCAGGTAGTGCATAATCACCAGTTACATTTCTACCTGGCGAACAATAGACACCAAAGTTCCAAGCTTCCATGTAATAAAATCCTTGAGAGAGTCATCACATGTGCGGACAGTGTGAAAGAGATCCGGCAAAACCTACACCATAAGAACAATAACAATTAACATAAAGAAATCGAATCATGTAGTCCAAAAACAAATTGTCAATAAGAAACATATATTCACATGGAACAAGTATAAAACAGAATAGAATGGAACTAATAACAAGATCAACCCTCCGCCTAAGGATCCGAACCCGAATACAGCAGGGAGACAGAAGGCAATTTCCATAATGAACTAGTAATAAGATTGACCCATCGTGTCTAGGAGCAAAAGGTCAAACAAATTCAGTACGGTAGGTTTATTGCAGAGAGAGCAAATAAATGGTCAGCAGAAAGACATAGGTAGAGAGCTAAAAACAACGAACAAATTACTTGAGCATTAAACACTAACCTTTGGTAAATATGGCACGCAGCCAAGGCCCATTGACTGACCTCACAAAGTAATAGGATACCAACAGCATTAAAACAATTGGTTAGATAGGAGTATAGACAGGAAATATTCAGGAAAAGAAAAACCATGTCACTCTTCATTTTTACCTTGAATATGAACATAAGAGATCCTACCACCTTTTGGTGGTAACCAGCAAGAGAAGGATCTCTAAGAATGCGCATGAGGGAATTAACAGCAACCTGAATTTACAAAATTAAAACCATAAAGCCATTAAGCATGATTATCAGATGATTTAAAAGATGACAAGCTCAAGGAGTACCGTTGAATAATAATCTTCAGAAGTAGCAAAAGAGGGCCAAAGGTCCATAGGCAGTTCATCCAATGATGGGATGTGCTGGCCTGACTCACTAGCTGCACGGGCTACCTCGCCATGGGAGCCAGGCAAATTTTGCTGATTTCGCTTATGCACATGTGGATCCAGTGCACCCATAATGCCGAGCACCTAGTTGAGTTGTAAAGAAAATTTAGCATCAAAGTTATCTACCACACATAGCCAACTACAAAAGGTTATCTAGAGATACCTTGAGTACTTCACGTCTGGTGGACCAGACTAATTCTCCATTCAACAATTTCAGGAGTAAGCCAAGTAACTGGGGGTACTCGTTATAAGGAGCTATCACATACCTGTGATGGTGAAGAAAATTAACAAGAAAAGATATAAGGCCTATTTCTGTTGTAGTCACCCATTAGCTCAAACTGTTGGCTGTTTGGAGGATGAGGCTGGTTTCAAAACAATATTCCAACAATTACTATCTCACACCATTATGTATTCAATAGATAGAGAAACCGGATGTTCAATTTAATCCCAGATTACTGTTCCTAACAGCAAAGGATAACCAATTCGGTCCTCTTGAATATACAATAGTTTCAATTGTTGTTTTATTAAAACAATGTCACATATCGTCATTATACTTTTTCTAAAACTTACCTAAACCCCTTTCCTCGTCACTTCTACCAAAACCATCAAACTAAGCTATGTTGTTGAAACAAGCAGAATCTAACACTTCTTTTCCCATAGATATCAGACATAGAAACCAATAGATAACACAGTTTAAACACTCAGAGACTTGGACTCACTCTATCAGTTAGGGCCGAACTGAATATAACGGAAGAAGAAGCCCGAACAGGTGCTAACCCATATTCCATTAACAGTTTTCATGGATGTTAATTACTTCGCAAGAACAAAAGTGCTATTATTTTGGTTTTTGATACTTCGGCTAACAACCATTTACTTGTTATTTTATAAAGTTCTCTACAAAAGTCTACAAAAACCTGGTCCAGATATGATAAAAATGCCTTATCAACCTTTCTGTGTATCAGTTGTGGCTTTGAACTTTAACTTTACTCGGTACTAAAAAGACTACTGTTTTTCATTACTGCAAACTAGACCCCTTCAACCCATAAAAAATGCTCATCAAATACAACACTCCCCCAAACCCCTTAAATTTTTAGACCAGCACATATAAACCCATTCACCATTTTCTCTGCACTCAAGGTTGCTCCTGATATTTCAAGCTTTCAGATTATGCAGCCTCTTTTATCTTTGAATTCTAGCATTCTGTTCATCCTGTTTATTTAGTGATGACAAAGCAATTGAAATAAAAACATTCGACATGTGAAAACAACTAAATATGCATACCCAGTGCTTTGCACAACTTGGCCTAGTGTTGATACAGCCACCTCGCGTTTTGTGACCGAAGCTCCATCCAGTAAAGCATCAACAATCAGAGGCATGAGCTCTGAAATATATTGCCTCATAGCAAATCCACCCTATACATTCAATGCAACCGAAGTCAATGGCATTGTGATTAATCAATGAAAAGGAAATTATAATCATTAGAAACAGGATAACCTGGCTATAAAACAAAACAAAACAAAGCATCGCAACATCAAAGGCAGATAATAAGGAGAAATATGGTACGTCATCTTTAAACCGTAGAAGTTCCAACACATAGATAATGTAAAGAAGAATTGGCCTCGGCAGGAGGCAAAATGGTAGTGCATCAAGTACTTATGAAGATTGAACCTCACATACAATTATTTAAATAAGAGCAAGACAATGTATATGAGACAGCCACAAACAAAGTGCTCCATATGCTACACACGTCCCCCACATATATAGCACATATGCTATCTCTCTTAATCATTCATCACAAAGGTCAATTCACTATTATACACATCAGGGTAATCGTAACATACCACTCTTGCAAGATCCCCCACCGTAACAAGAACTCCACTTATAATGCCAGTATTGGCATTTGCCCCCGTGCCCTCAAGAAGTCTAGCAACAAGTGCCTGCAATACGTCACTGCCAATTAAAATTTGAAGATAAGACTTATTTTGAGGAGTTCCATTTCCCCTGTGTCCTAAAACAAGAGGCTGGATCGTCGGACTAGGATGACTATTCAAGAGGGTGCAATAACATACCATCTTTTGTAGACTTTTGTTTGGATAAGCAAAAGGGTAATAAAATAATTTTAATTTGCACCACATCCTGAACCCTAAATATGATGACTAAAGCCACAGCATAGTATTACCACTGAGTCGCGTGGAGAGCACTGTAATTGGGCTTGGGGAACACAGGGAAAGAGGTCCCCCCACCCAAACCCGCCACCTTCTCATTCACAAAAACTAACAGATCTATAACCTAAACACACAAGTCGAGGTCAAAGGTGAATTTCTGCAAGAGCAAAGGCTTCCAAGAAGTCGGGGATACTTTGGATGGAATTGGCAATCACTATCAACTAATGCATTTGATGAAGACGAAATCGGAAATCAACAGAAGTTGGTATTAACTTTTCAACCTTGTGTATTGGGGCAATATAAGGCAGAATTAATCGTTCACAGTTGCGTATCAGACAACCCAGTAATTTCGCGCTTTCTTCTCGACATTTGCTATCTGCACTGTTGAAATGACATGGAGATTTAAATTTAATAAGACTTTACAAAAAGAAAGTTGATTGCATCAGAAGTCAGTGACTCAAACAAAATCACCTCTGTTCAAGATAAGTGAGCAATTGTATGAGGTGCCGACGCAAGGCTGGTAGAACATATGCAGGATTTTTTTCCGCCAACCTCCCAGCCACAGATATTGCATATTCTCTGACATCAAAATCCTGTTCCAACCACGATTCCTTATTTACATGTAATGAAACGACGCAGTATTTCAAAATACACAGATGAAGTAGGTGTCTTTCCAACCCAAGGAAATATGAATCTGCCTGTTGACAAACTAAGAAATTATGACTTAGCTAACTCGAATCGAGGAAAGGAATTAACTCAAAGATACTTTGGACAACAAGGAAGTGAACAGAGCATGGCAGTTCAAGTTTAAGATCCGACCAACATGTTACAACAATACTAGAACCAATGGAACACACCACAAAACAAATCAGTCAAATGCATGACCCTGTCACAGCAGCCACTAATTTTATGGTCACAAGCCAGCATTTGTGGCTAACAAATTCCAAGTTTAGAGAATGCCAGGTCACTTCAAAAAAGAACTCAGAACTTAAGAGCACATGATCATACTCAAAGGACTTTAAGAATAGGTTGGCATTACTTGAATACCTCATCATTTAGCGCAGCAAAAACTGCACTGAGACAATCAGCCTGAGCTAGAAAATCATCAAAGCCTCGATTTTCATAAAGAGAAGAAAATATTGAATGCCGAACATTAACATCCGCATCTGCAACAGCTGCAATTAGAAGCTTTTCCACTAGCTGCAAAAAATAAGTTATCAATCAGCAATAAAATAAAATCCTCAGCCAGCAAGCACCGAATACACCACATAAGTACCAGCATTTAGATTCAGCATATCAAATTGATTGCACATGAGGCTGTCATAATTATGGATGGTGATGACTCGCGCCGTTGGGTAATTTGATCCAACTACTGACATGGAGCTGTTGGGGAAGTTAAAGATAACGGTTTTTTAGCTGCTTTCATGTTGCCCAAGTAACAATGATCCAACATCGTCTCTTTCAATTAACAGACACAACAAACTTCTCTAAAAGTATGACCAGCTCCCTTGGAGGTGTTAGCCTCTCACAGATACCATTGTGTTTACCCAGAAAACATGTAGTATATTTACTACAATGTCACCATCACTAGCAGTTCTATGTCATCCCAAATGTCAATATCTATATGCATATGTCATTTGCTCACAGGTCAGTCAGACTACATAATAGGAAGAGAAGCTAAATGGACACTGGCAGCATAAATTTAACACCACGAGAACAAAGAAAATTTTGAAGCAGAGAAATCAAACCTCCTCAATAAGACACCTTCGCTTTCCACCACTTCGATTGGACCGACCAGAGCCATATTGTGCAGACACACCACTGGAAAAGGAATTTGCAACTAATTTGCAGCAGCAGAGTGCCGCATCCTTTCGTGTAGCACCATCCTCGTGGTCAAGATACACAATAACGGATTCTCTTGCAAACTCAAGTAATTCATGTCCCTGAACCATAAAACAACCTCGTAGCTTTTGTTATCCCCTTCCTTTGCAAAGAATGAAGCACAATGGAAAACTATAGACAAGATCCACATGATAATTTAATGAGTCAAACCTTGAAATTAAATCGAGCTAGAGTTTGCAGAGCAAGTTGAACCAAGGCAGGACCACTAAGATCTGATATCTGTTGAGTTGGATTGGCAGTACCACCTCGAGAGATTGCAGTCGCTGGCCTTGCCTGAGAATAATGAGACTTGGAAAGAACTAAGGAAATACAATCGAGCAGCCGATCCTGGATAGTTGGCAGCAATGATGGAATACTGAAACAGAACCAAACAAATCTTTACCGAAAAGGAAAAGAAAATTGATCTCTTGGAATAAGTAATAAGGAAATGTGCATACCTATCAGTAATTTGTTCGAGGGATTCAACAAGTGTGGATGAGAGACCAGCAGAAAACACAACATCCATAAGGTCGCGGATATAAGGTTCCATGGTCGGCCCCATGGCTTTTGCTATGTTACCAACACAGGTCAAAGCCTCCATTGAGGGCTTTCCTCTACGAGGAGCAATCTACAATAGAAGGATGAAATACTCACTATGAACAATTCCAACTACAGATGGAGCAAAGCAGAAGTTCCATTAAATGCATGGAAGATGAAAAAGAGAGAAAAAAAACAAACAAAAAACAAGTACAAATCAGCAGAACAGCTCACTTACTGCATCACGTAAGTGAGACATGATTGTTGGCAAATAGTGGACAAGTTCCCCGTCCAGAGCACCAGCCATCTCCCCCAGAGCAATAAATCCACTGCCACGTTCAGCAGGTTGCCTCAGGACTGCAAGAATATGATTCATGCATATCTGCAAACAAAATGGCGCATCGATATCATTGGTACAGAAAGATCATTGTTCTCAAAGCATGTCGCACAGTAACAAAAGTAGGCATCCAATTAGGAAGCGAAGACGACAAACCGTTAAGTAGTTTGTGACAAATCGGTCACGCAAGAAATGAGCAATGCGGGGCAACAAAGATGTTATGCTGAGGCGAACAAGTCGATCACGGTGCTCTAGATATCTGAGAACGATCTCTGCAACTTCTCTGTACCTCGACATCATGAACTCACCAGTGTTCCTGCAGATTTAATGTTTTAGTTCTTTTCCCCATACAATCAAGTAGCTTACTGGTATTAATGTCTTGTGTAATAGTGATAGCCACCATCATTCTAACGCATTTTAGCTGCCATTTGATGCTCTTGCCAACTTAATACTAAACAAACCTTGTATTGACATTTGTTGTTCGGAAGAGGGAATTCATAATGAATACATACTACTGCGCAAGCCAAGAAGTAGATACCATTGAGAACTTCAAATAAAATGAGACTTGTACTCTACAACTCAACACTCAACACTATTAAGCAGTCATATCACAACCTCCATGACAGTATTCCGTGGATTGTGCATATTCAACCAAATGACTTCTACTTCCTATAAACAAGTTGCTTTATATCTAAGCGACAGGGTGCAAAATCTGGTCATTCTTTAACTTATTGTCAATTAATCTGGATTATCTTCTAGATAAGTGCTGCAAACATATAGCTTGTTCAGGAAACTTTCACTCTTCAATCTTCAGCCTACTAACTCATCATAAACTTTGAAACGTGTCATGAAGCCAACATACTCACCTATGTTCCAAAATGAAGATTCTCTGCTCAACATAACAGGCTTACTGACTAAGGAAACTGAGCAACAGCAACAAATAACTGACCTCTTCTTCATCAAACAAAATCTAATCCCAGTAACAGACCATAGATGTGTCTCAGAATGAAAAAGGCAAAGAAAAACTAAAGCAATCATTAACCAAAAAAATGAGGTATCACACATTCAGTTCTATTAGATACACTTAATCCGCCCTTCAAAATAATAAAAGTTAAACTCTGAATCAGAAAAGAAGTTTTTGTTTCTGAAAAATAGTACTTAAACAACAAACGGGAACCCCCTTGAATGGAGAATGTGTGTGATAACCTATAGCAATAATCTATACCACATAAAGAAAGACATATACAGGTTAATACTGACCTCAAAAGTTCTCCAACTGCAAGTAAGGAACCATGTATACTATGTACAGGAGCATTTTTCCCCAAGCCATCTTGTGTAGCCTCAAACATTCTATAGTACCTATAGAGAGGACACCAACAATTTGAACAGGTTAAACAGTGGAAAATAGTTCTTCACCTTTTCACTTTTCATTGCAGCTACAACGGAAAGATAAACAAAGGATAAGTGGAAAATCCATCTAGCAAATGAGAAAAGTAACTTTTATGTAAGCAACACGAGGCACTACAGTCTTGCACCACGTTTTAAACTAAGGAAGCTGGTATCCCACCTCATACAAACCTAGCACAACATGCATCAACTAGGAGAATCACTAGGGAAGCATGAAAACTACTACCCAGTCACAAATTACCACAACTAATCCTCTGCCAAGCATAAAAAGGTACGAAAGATGAGAGGAGAGAGACACTCTGACCTTTATGCGTGAAACATATCAAAAGCTTTTTTGAGTAAATAATTGCAATGCTTTAAATCATCAAACAGAAGAACTCACCATTGCACACGCCACCGGGTCTCACGCTTTTCGATAACTTTAAGACAAGCACGCAATGCCTCCACAGCTCGCTCTCTAACTTGCAAGGTTGGATGCCTCAATGCAACCCATATTGCATCAACAAATCTTGGAACATGGACATTAAATACAGTGGAAGCATTTTCTGCCATTTCCTACCACATTTCGCAAAAAACAAAGAGGAAGAATGAAAAGTTACCATCACCAAAAGGAAATTACTGAATTAATATTGACTAAAGCAACTTCTACCCAAAATATATTCACGAGGAAGGAGTATTCCTTACTTTTAGTATGAGGACAGCAGCAAAAAGGCGATGTTCAGCTTTGTCATTTTGAAGCCAGTCTAGTGCCATCCGCACCTGGGAAAGAAAAGACATGACGGTCAGGCATTGACTGCAATAACTACCAGCTACTAGTATCCAATCATATGACAGAGACAGAGTACCTGAATTTCTACTTCATCTGCTGTCATTGCTCCGCCAGCCCTGGCCAGATGGCCAAGAACTCTACTAGCAAGAGCCAGCACTTCGGGATCCTGCTTTACCTCAAACACATGTCGCATATAACTGGCAAATTTTGAGACTTTGGAAGCATTTTCACCAAGTGCCACGTCTATTAACTCATCTACTGCTCGTAAAGCTCCCAAGTTTTCAGCAACATCATTACTATGTAAGAGAGAGGAAATTCGATCATACAACTGGTCCATGAAACGAGAAAAGGCTTCTCCGCTAAGATCACGAGCTTCCTCCTCCAAATGTTTTTTCAGAGCCAAAGTAGCACCCTCCTACGCAATGAAAATAGAAGTTCATGGGTCACCAGATCAAACACATAATCAATGCTACAACACTAATACAAAAATCAGAATGGTAAAAAGATGTAAGCTTTTTACAACCCGTTTAAAAAACAATACAGGGAAAGGCCACAAAATGCAAACCGTGAATGTATTCTGCTCTATCCCAGTACCTCATAGCATATCTTGTAAACAATCAAAAATTGACAAAGATGAAGAAGAAGGGAGGCAGTGTCGTGGTGAATACCTTGGGACTGCCACGTGTACATAGGTCTGAAAGAATGCGATTAAGTGCATCAAAGCTTCCGCCACTGGGGCAAGTAGACGAAGCAGGGCCAAGGAAACGGAGGGATTGGGAGGTGGAAGCCATAGCCGTTATTTAATCAGAATGCCCTGAAAAGGAAGAAAAACATGTCAACCAAGAAATACGTTTTAGGGATACTAGCTTTGAGCCCGGCTCTCGGCCGGGAGTAATTATTTTGTTTGTCTTTGGCCCTTTTTATTTTTTGCCGTTGTTTTGTATTCCTTGGATTAATACCCAAATTATCTGTTCATTTACTTATTGTCCTTCTCATGCAAAACTATTATAAAATAATAAAATGGAAAAGGTTCATAGAATATGAACCAACATTTCAAATTATAACAGTATAATCTATTATCAAATCATTAGGACAAACATTTCAAGTTCACAGCTAGCTATAAAGAGATTGATCCAAACAACAGAAGGGAGATTGATTACAAAGGTCAACATCTCTTCAATGAGAAAGCAGAGTTCATCAAATGATCTTATGAGCCGCTACTGGAATCATGAACTCTATAATTAATGTCATAGCAAAACAACTAATATACCAACAGTGGCAGAGCTCTCTTAACTCTCAAAATTTTAAATTACATGTAATAATTGTGAAAATTTAGTAGTTGATAGGGTTTTACCCCTTCTCGTCAATTCAAAATTTATGTGCATATATTTAGCATTCTCGTTCAGATGTTTGACTTCGCCACTCAACCAATTCTGTATCTCTAACTTTAAGAAGCCACCAGGAACCAACGCGAACACTGGTTTATCTAACATAGTCGCTCTAAGCGAAGAAACAGAAGTACTTGTCCATTGAAAATTGCTTAATGCTTTCTTACATGGCTTCATAATACTCAGCCGAAGAATTAATAACAAACTTGGCTGGGAAGTTGCACTCTAGCTACTTGCTTCATGATGGAAGAGCAACAAAAAGAGAAACAGGAAGTGCGCCCAAAGTACCTTATTTCGGAAGTGAGGCCGCATTTCCAATTATCATTGGGCGAAATAACTTTGTGTTGCAGGTCCAATTATCCAGAGTTTCCAATTTCAAAAGCTGGACAAAATTCCACCGAACAGAAAGATTTCTTGGGTGCGATCGATTATAAGGTACAAATTGCAGCCGATGACAGAACGACCATTGCCCACTCCCCAGCGGCAGACGCATGCAGGCTTATTAGGCAGAATTTGAGGATGGGTGGTGGTCTGGTGGATAAGGCGAGTCGGTAGCGAAATTCAAATTGGGTGGAAGTCCTATCGGAATGTGACCGAGGACAAAGATTCACAACCAAATGAAACGAAAGACAAAGTGCGATTTCAGGGTAGACATTGCGCAAGCCTATGAGGGAGAATTTGACGATTAAGGGTTGATCTCAATGGTCTCGACTTCGGACAGGTGGAAAAGGCAAATTGGTGGCGGAATATGGAGGGGCAGGGCGGTTCGACTGGAGAAGGCAACGGGCAGATTACAGTTATAGGGAGAGGGATTCTGGGGGATGAAGGAGAAAAAATCCAACCTTTTTTTAGGGGCGAAGTAGTTCACAGGGATCAGAATAGAAGAACGGAACGGGTAACTTAGAGGCTGACGTGGACAGCTTCTAATTGCAAGGAGGAGTACCTGGTAGGGCTGGGAAACGGTGCGGTCTGGTCCAGACCAAACCATATACACGGTCTGCGGTCCAGACCGTGAGAGTAGAACAGAGACCATAGACCAGACCAGACCACGCCTGTGCGGTGCGGTCCGGTACGGTCTGAACCGAGTAGACCTTGTTCAACAAAACCTCTATTATCCAGAGCTATCTTCGTAACGAGCTCTTTTGCTAGCCTGAATAATAGACAGATGCATATTAACTACTAAGCATTCTGGCCATTTAGTAACAATTTGAATTGGGGAATGAAGAACAAACATAGGGGAATGGAAGAACAGTCAATCATTATTACCATAATTTTGGTTCTCTGTTGCAGCGGCAGCAAACAATGGTGGAGTCAATGGAAGAATTGCAAACGTCGATGGCTATAAAGATAGATAGGTTCGATGGTGGTCGGCGGAGGTCGATGGCGGTCGGCGGAGGTTGATGGCAGTCGCCAGTCGGTGAAGGTCGATGGTGATGGAGCAGCCTGAGAAGAGAAGGATGGTGGAGGTCGATGGCTATGGTGGAAGGCGATGGAGACAAACAACAACCGTGCAATGAAGCTGGATAGTCAACGACGAAGCTCCAAAGTCGGCGGTGGGGCGGATGATGGATAATCGGAGACGGGGAGGCGAGGGCGCGAGGCGACGATTGGGGTTGGGGCTGCAAAGTCGGCGAGACGAAGCTCCGTGCTAGCCTGCAAAGTCAACGATTGGGGTTCTCCTTTCCGTTTTCCTTCTCCTTCTCCCTTCTCACTTCGAGGCTCGAGTGAGTTGCGATGGGGAAGCACGGCGCACGCAGCAGCCGAATTGCTGGACAGTGGGAGGATGGGGAAGCACGCAGGCACGCAGCTAGGACTGTGGTAGGCTGTGGGCAATGCAATTGGGCTTTGGCCCATTGAAATGTGTAGGGTTGGGGCTATCTAGTTGGGCTCAGCCCATAGTTAATTTTTGTCACGGTCTGGACGGTTAACCACGGTCTAGACCAGACCAAACCGTTCTAGACCACAAGTGAAAGAAGCAAACCATGGACCAGACCAAATTGTATTCATGGTCTAACGGTCCGGACCAAATCATACGGTACGGTCTAAACCGCGGTTTGTCATACGGTTTGGTCTAAATTCCCAGCCCTAGTACCTGGAAATGGTGTAAATCTACAAGCCCTTTAATATATTTAAAGATGCAGTTGACAGCGAAAGAGAATGAACATTAAGAAAGGAAGAAGAGCTCCTCCTCAATGAAGGAGAAGCACTTCTTCTGTGACACTGAGGAAAGGATAATAAGAAGGAAAATTGAGACATTCGAAAGGGGAAGAAAGAAAATAAACCCTAAACAAGACAATACTAAGAACCCATCTTCGTTAGGGTCATAAATGAATTGAAGGCATGAAAGAAAAGATGCAGCTGTGACTGCCTGTGAGTTAACCTAATCAGTCTAGCAGCAACAGATGAGTTTGATTTGTTAGGCTGTAATTACCAAATACCGCAATTCTTCAGTTCCTTAAGGAGTATGACGGCAGGCAGCAGAGAAGGTCGTCGGTCGACTCATCTGAGGCCAGATAGAGGAATTGACATGCTCTGGTGGTCGACCGTGGGCCAAATCGTAGCCTCTTCTGCTGTTCTGTCTTCTGAATCTGCTGGTCGGCTGGGGACGAAAGGGGAAGCCGGAGGAGAGGCGAGGCGGGCGACGGGGTAAGTGGATTAAACGACTGTCTGCCTGCGAAGAGCAAATTGGGTTAAGGGGCTCGTGGGACTGGGCTGTTTGGGCTGCAGCTGGAAACTCGCCCCTGCGGGTTGGGCTGGGGATTAAACGAGTACGGTTGTTGATGGCCAATGAAGCATACGAAATACAACTGCAAACAGCAATATAAAAAGGGTAATAAAGAACAACCAGACCAAGAGTTGAAGGACACGAAGAATGATGCAAATCCAACACCTCCAAATCAAGAGCTGAAACCCGAAAGCAGAGTTCAAGCACACAAATCTTTGTACCGAGAAGAAGCTAAAACCAACCAAAAACAAAAAAACCCAATTGACATCCACTCTAGATACCCATAATGGATAAGAAGGAATTCTATAACATTGCAACCCTAACCGACCCGCTGGGTATCCACCCGAAACCGGCTTAGATGGTAATCTACATACCCGTTTGGCGTGGGTTTTTGGCGGATTTGGGTTTGCACGAAACTCGCGAGTTGTGGGTGATGAGTGCGACGGAATAAGTGGTATATGCCCCGCCCCGTATCATAAAACGACGTCGTTTTAGACGTCGTATATAAACCAAGAGTTGAAGGACACGAAGAATGATGCAAACCCAACACCTCCAAATCAAGAGTTGAAACCCGAAAGCAGAGTTCAAGCACACAAATCTTTGTACCGAGAAGAAGCCGAAACCAATCAAAAACAAAAAAAAAACCAATTGGCATCCACTCTAGATACCCAGAATGGATAAGAAGGAATTCTATAACTTGGCAACCCTAACTTACCCGCTGGATATCCACCCGAAACCGGTCTAGATGGTAACTGACATACCCGTTCGTCGTGGGTTTTTGGCGGATTTGGGTTTGCACGAAACCTGCGAGTTGCGGGTGATGAGTGGCGACGGAATAAGTGGTATATGCCCCGCCCCGTATCATAAAACGACATCATTTTAGACGTCGTATATAAACCAAAAAGAAGCACAGGGGAAACCCTAATCTTCATTTTCCTCTCGACCTCCCCATCAACTACTCCCATTCCTCTTCGAGAACCACCCCAAACCCTAGCGATTTTCTCTCCATCGAATCCCCCAAACATCCAATCTGCTTAAAAATCTCGTTGATTCCCCACGAATTCCTCCCAATCCAGGTTGTTTATACAACTATGATTGCTAGTATGTAATCATTATCTCCCAATTTGGCCAATTGGAGGCTAGTTTTGCCAGCGATTTCGTCGGGAAACAACATGCAGAACCCTAAATTTCCCGCTGCAATCTTCGATTTGCAGCTATTGGGGGAAATCATGTGATATTACACACTGAGATAAGTTCTTTCTCCCTTTTCCTTTCGTATTCTATTGCACTTTCTTGCCTTCTTCCTTCTTCTCGTATATATAGTAACCCCTCGATTAATTTCAGGTCACTAGTCAGCCTAACTTCTTCCCTAAACCCATTACCTGCACTCTGCTCAGAGCACAGTCGAGGTAAGCACAAACTTTTGCCTTCATTTGTCCAGATTCATGAGCTAGGTCTTTGTCAATTGATGCATACTAATGTTATTTTGTTTATTTTGGCTTTGTTTGGCAGTTCTTCAGGTTCGCATTAGGCATCAGCTCACCATCTGCAGTCTAGTGAACAAAGTCTCCTCTCTCCAAATTACAGGTTAGGCATAACCTTACTCCAATTCAACTCTCGATTGTAATTTGTATTGTGTGTTGTGTGATTTGTCTGGGTAGTTATGGTTGATTGATTG